TACAGTTGATTTCTAGGTCAACTGTCAAATTGACTGGGCAAAGATTTGAATCAAGGCTTGAAACTTGGTATGGATAAACTTGTGAGTCCAACATGAAGCATGAAATCCACTTTGGATATTTTAGGTCAAAACATCCCTGTGCAAACTCAAACCCTAATTTGGGTCAACAGTGCGAGGAGGGGCCTTGAGCAGAGCAAACCCTAACTTGATCTTGAGCTCCAAGAGTCTTGTGATGAGAAAATGTTGATGAAATGAGAGGGAAAATTTTTGGGTACAACAGATACAATTAAAGAAAGTAAAGTATAAAGATAAACACCAAAAAAGAGAAAACAAACAAGAGCTAGGACTGACTTGCTTAGGTATATTCCAGAGTAGAGTCTCCAACTGAAGCTACTTGAAAAATAACTTCGGATTGAACAAATAGAGTCACCACCTAACTTTATTTATCCCAAAAAAATAGGGAAAGAAAAATATGGATAAAACCTTAGATATCGAGAAAAGAACATGGTCTTACAACCAAATCTAGGGTAAGGGAGTCAATTACGCAAGAGGAAAGTATTAACACCCCTCACATCCATGGTACTCCATGGTATCCACTCTTGTTATCTTAATCAATGTGTGTTTTAATCTAAAACTTACTTTCTAAAGGGAAATGCATGCATAAATTCATTGGGAAAAAGAAAGGGTTTTTATTAGTGCGTTTTCCTGAGCATTGAAACTTCATAACTATGTATCCACAAGAGAATCAGAACATCGTAGTTATTTTTAAAAATGTTTTGTTTGTTGTGTGTTTTTTTATGGGTGATGTTAAATTCACATTCTAACAGTTAACGTTCCCACTCGACTTTTAGAGACTACGCATCGATGTTTTATGTAGAAAGGAGTTAACGTATCCTTTTTTGAAAATGTTTTAAAGTCAAAAAATCCCTATGACAAAATGATTTGGATTTGGTTAGTGTTTTTGTTAGGAGAGAAAGGTAATAAGTGGACCCTCATCCAAGGAGATACCCATCACCTTCATACCTTTAGTTTTGAAAGGGTTTTGAATATTTTAAGTGTCTTTGGATTTTTCGAATGAGAAAAGATTTTAGTATTAATGATGCAATGCAAGAGGAAAATAAAAGTCTAATAGGGAGACTTAATCTTAATTTTTTCATGCAAAGGTTGATCTTATAGTTGAGATTGTGGGGGAAATTCTACCCTAATGTTGTCATGCTTGGATTGAGATTCTAATGTCTAACTTGATTCAAGTTTCATCAAAGATTTAAGATGAACCAAGTAAGCTTAAGGGAACATGTTATTCATACAAGAAATGATTATACAAGTGGATGAAAATACATGTATTTTATTTGGTAAAAGTTGTGACAAAAGAGTGAAAGTTGAAAACATGTTTTTGATGTTTTATGGTTTATGCTTTAAAAGAGTTTATGAAGGAAATATATTCAAAAGGTGAGACAAACTTGTGAAAATATGAATGAGTTGAATGTTTGAAACAATGTATGCATCACAATTAAGATGAAAGTCATGGAGTATAGCTTTTGATTTTTGAACATGTTTCATGATTTAGTGTGAATTTTGAATGATAAAACTCTAAAATGGCTCAAGCTATCATGAAATTCTCACTCAAGAGTCAAGATATAAAATTAGAATCAATATCTATCATGGTAAAATCGAGCTTTGTGAGCAAAGTTGAGAAATTGATCAAAAGATCATCAAAAGTCCTTAAGAAAACCCTAAAAAGTAACCACTTTGATTTAATTGAAAAATAATGAAATAAAAAAATATTTTTGTGATATTTTTTATTTTCATAAAATAGGAGTGGTGAACTAGTAATGTACAAAAAATTAGCTCAAAAGAGTTAAAATTGATTGCAAAAATAATTGAATTAAAATGGTGAAAAATGAAGTGAAAATGACAAGTTTAAAAAAGGAAAATTGACAAAAGGGTACCGCTGGGGCTCAAACCCAGGTTCCTAAGGTTACAAGCGTGCACTCTCTACTACTGGGGTGGTTGTGTCATTCGGTTATGAAACATCAACTATTTAATATAATATAAACTCAAAATTTGTAAATATAACAAATGGCAACCTAGCTCCATCTTCTTCCTCGCGCGGACCAAGAACCAACAACACCATTGTCAAATTCGTAAATCCTTCATTTCTTAACCAAGTTGAGAATTGTAAATACCAAACTTGTCTAAAATTTTACAAGGAATGAAATGATGTAATTTATTTAAGCTATAAATCAAATATTAACGAGAATTTCTATCACTACCAAAATAAAACCATAACGATTCAGTTTCAAATTCTCATCACACAGTCAATTTAAATGAAAACTAGGGACATGGTTAGCTTCAGAGGCATGATATTTACATTTTTTTTCTTTTTGAATGTCAATGTTGTAGCGGTGAAAATCGGAGATCAAGCTATTAATTAACTTGACTCACAAAAGCAAGAGTCGCCACCGCGCTTTATTATTTCCAAGGGAAAAGGGAAAAGAGCGAAATAAAACCCTAAAATATGCAATGTAAAATACTTAAAAGTAATGAAAATACAATGCGTTTTTTGAAAGAGATCGAGAGTTCGGGGGTTGGTTATACAATGGGAAGGTATTAGCACCCAATGCATCTGCGGTACTCCGCAGGAACCTTTTGAAATATCTGTTTTTGGTTAAAATTGTTTGTTTGATTAAAATGGTTCGTTTGGCTAAAAATAGGTGTTGGCGAGATTTTGAAGATACGACGACCTAGTATCGAAGTTTTAACTTAAAAGGGGGTGAGTTTTAAAATTGAGTCTTTTAGAAAAAATTAACTTAAGATTAACAAAATAGTAAAACAAAAATGAAGGAAGGTATTCGCTTAATCGTGTAACATGTGTTTGATGACATGAAGTCAACAAAGTTAGAACGTTTCTCTTGGAGTTAATCATAAGTGGGTAGATCTAATATTCGAGTAAGAAATCATAAATAGTTAAAATCCACGAGAAACAAACAAGGTAGATAACAAGATAAATTGTAAGAAACTAAATGAATAGACAAAGAAGAATCATGAATAAAAGAAAAGTGTAATTAAAAAATTATCTAGACTAATTTGAAATTCTAAGGTTACTAAGTAAACTAAACTTAAATTCTAAAGTGTCTAACTAAATTAAATAAAATTTTGAAGTTACTAACTAAAACTAAATTAAAATTCTAAAGTTACTAACTGAAATTCAAAAGTTATTAAATTAAATCTAAAATAAATTAACACTCTAATATTACTGAATTAGGTCTAAACTAAATTAATTCTAAAGTTGCTAAATTACATCTAAACTAGTTTAAGTATAAACTAAATTCATTATAAAATTACTAAGTTAATCTAAACTATATTAATAATAAAATTACTAACTTAAGTCAAAACTAAATTAATTCTAAATTAAAGATTAAAAATTCTAAGATTAAATTAAAATTCTAAAGTTATCAAAATGTATCTAAACTAATTGGAAGTTCTAAAATTATAAAATAGATCTAAACAAATTAAAATTTTTAAGTTATCAAAATATACCTAAACTAATTAAAGGTTCTAACATTACTAATTTATATCTAATTAAATTAAGATTCTAAAATTATTAATTATAATTCTAAATATTTTAAAGTTATAAAACACATCTAAACTAATTATAAAAAAATTAATACTAAACTAAATCTAAATATAAGATTAACTAATATTTTTTATATATTTTTTTTTACCTAAACCTGTACTAAATTAGAACATAAACTTGAAAGAAAACAGCAGCGGCATCCAATTACAGTAAAACAAGAAAGCAAATTGGAAACTCAAAATAAAACAAAAGACAGCAAAAATAGTTGTCAAACTTGAAAGAAAAAGGAAAACCTTATTATTATTTTAATCAGTAGCTCCATAAGCCTCCAAATTCTCTCCAGTGAGTCTGCAAAGCCTCCGACGCAACCCTCCGCCTCCAAACGGCAACCCATACGCGCTCGCCGTTCACCCATCAATAACCGATCTCCCGCTTTGCTCCCTCTGTTACTGCACCGAACCCTCGATCCACGCCGAATCAGCGCCCTTCAAATCTGCTTCATCTGCGACTCTCTCATCACCATCATCCGTCTTCACCGCTGAACTCCGGCCCGTACTACCTCCATCAGATCTGTCGAAGACGAAGCTAGATATCTCCCATCCCCGCTGTTAAAATTTCCTTCATTTTTGAGCATTTTCCCTTTGCTTCTTCTTCCTCTCTGCTCATTTCCCTGACTCCTCTCATCTTCAACAGCTTGTAGAAACTCACTGTGCATTGGTTCTGATGTTTCGTACAGAAGCCTAAGGACTTGTTTTATTGAAGTCCGTGCCCTTCCTTCTCTCTGTGTGCACCATCCTACTATAGATATTACTGTTTGAAGCTGGTCCGTGTCGAAAGATTCCCTCACATTTGGATCTACTAGCTCTAATAATCTAGTTTCTAGTTCCATGTATGGTTTGGCCCATTCTACCAAATTCTTATTATCTTGTATAGCTCTTCTTCCTGTCACAATTTCCAGTAGTAACACCCCAAAACTGTATATATCGCTTTTCTTAGTGAGCTCTTGAGTAACAACATATTCCGGATCCATATAACCTGGAGTTCCCCAGATTTCGGTGTTCACAGGTTCAAAGCATACCGAACCATCTTTAGAAGCTTGTGCAAGGCCAAAATCAGCTATCTTAGCAACAAAGTTCTGGTTCAGTAATGTATTGCTAGATTTGGTATCTCCGTGACACAGAGGAGGATCGCAATAGAAATGAAGGTACTCCAATGCATTAGCTACATCAATGGCAATTTGGATTCTAGTTCGCCAACTTAATGGTGTTTTACCAGGGGAATGAAGAAGGTCTTTTAAGCTTCCATTTCCCATGTACTCATACAACAGAAACCTTTCTTGTTTATTGATGCGAAAGCCTCGTAATGCAACAAGATGTCGATGGTGCAGCCGAGCAAGAAGCTCAATCTCCCTGCAGAAGTCTTCCTATGCCTGTTCTGAGATTCTGTTCATCTGCTTTACTGCTACAATTTGGCCATCACTAAAATGAGCTTTATATACTGTTCCAAATCCCCCTTGGCCAATGACGGTGGTAAACCCCTCTGTTGCTTTCTTTATCTCTTTGAAGTTGAACTTTCGAAAGATAGATGAAGAGCCTTCCTGAAATTTCCATGTTGGCATAGAAGGTAGGGTTTTTGAATGGGGTTTACCAATGTTATCAGGCTCATCTAGCTCTCTGCTCTTTTGGCGAATTAGAACTATCAAGACTATGAGCATCACAAAAGCAATAGCGGTAACTGCAATAGCAATGCATGGAACTAATGTCAAGTGATATGAATGGTATTTTCCCTTAGAAGGTAGACCTAACATTAGTTGACTTGGGCTATCAGCAGCAACCAGTGGACTTGGAGAAACCTCAGGAGCAGGTAATGGGGAGAGGAAAAGAGTATTGCTACTGCTTTTTATTGTTTTTGTTTTTTTTGTTCCCCCGCTTTACAAAGAAAAAAATGAAGCCTTTAAATAGAAAAAGAATAGAAATATTATGATTACAGATTAAATCCAATCCGTCCAAAATTGTTAGATCTGCATCTATCCGCAACTCATGCCATCAACCAATAAGAATTAAGCAACGTCTAAATGATATATTTTTGTGACCAAAATGTCCTTTAATGATAAAATAACCAAAAAAACTAAATGTATTGCAATTAACTCAATTAAAAATGATTTTTTTTGAATATTTTATGAATAAAAAATAAAGAGCTAAAATGACCGAAAATGATAAAAAACGGACGAAAATTTATCCGAAAAAAATAAAATGAACACATTAAAATAAACTACATGTCACGAAGATTAAAGAAAAAAAATATTCAAGAAGTCAAAAATCAAAAATAAGATAATAATAAAAATGTCAGACTAAACAGACGTTTAAGGTTAAAAACGAGACTTCGAACTGTACCGAAAAAATAAAGCGAGCATACCGTCATAATCTACGCGAAACGCAGATTCATAAAATGATCGGTAAAAGGTGAAAACTTGAAATATTTTCTCGCTAATTTCCCGCATAGTGTCGAATCGCTTTTAACAGTCTGTCTATAAAACCAAAATATTTTTATTATTGACATATAAACAACTTGGAGCAATGCAACAAATGAGTAAATAGATAAAAATGCATGAAGCAAAATGCCGGGTATTTTACAACTGAAAGACGATGCAAACTTTGATTTAAACTGACTTTTTCTGATCAACTTAAATACGACTAATGATGTAAAATGTGATGAATGAAGATATTTACTAATGATCGTGACCAAATGACAAAATATGGTATGAATGTGCGAATGAAAAAATTAGGGGCGAAATTAAGGGTGCAACGGTGTGCCTTGATGACTCAGTCTTCGAGAATCCACAATCAACCGTACTTCGGGCTTGGGAGACTCAAAACCTTAATTGAGGCGCGACACCTGATGCTCTTGATTCAGACCTGTCTCTGCACATGACACAAAAGAAAACATGAACATACACTTTTGTATGCGATTAGAAATTAGTGATACATAGGCTCAAAATGTTCAAAACACTTGACAATCTTCGCATAGTCAAAGCTCGAAGGTGAGACGTTAAAACCGATCGTATTTCGTGACCTTGACTTATCTTAAAATGCAAAAATAAAAATGGGATCTTAGGTCAAAATTTGGGGTACAACAAATGCAAATAATGCTTAAATAAGGAGTTCAAAGTTTGAAATTTGTACCGATTTGGAGAAATTCCAACGCCTCTTCTAGAAGTTCCAAACGCAAATGAATGATATGGTTAGCTTTCTGGGACCTTGGTGAGTGTATTGAAATCCTTACTTTGCTTTGAGAGTGGCTGGAATGTTATGTCCAAGTCAAGTTGCAATGCTGAAAAGTGAAAATCGTGGATGATAAAGATGATGTTACAAACATGTAACATGTGTTTAGATCACTTCTATATAATGTATATGAAGTGTATGGCTGGTTGGTTTGCACATAATTTTCAAGGTTGAAGAGTTTCAAAGAAATGGACTATAAAGCTCAAGAATGATGGTTTTTTTCTCCAATTCTGACTTGGGAGAGTTTGAGAGGTTTCAAGGGCCTGTGAATTGGTGTTATGGACTGTAAATAAACTCTTTATTTATATGCAAAAGTTTTAAGTAATGAGGAGGTTTGGTTTACAAGTGGTGGAGTTAAGGTTTAAATGAAATGGAACAACCAAGTTTTGGTGAAAATTGTTGTTCCAATGCATAGTACAAGAGGATCTGAAGTGGTTAGGGGCTTTAGACATGTTTCTTTTAGATTTTATATTGAGTGTGTGCAGAGGAAACAATTTAGAGGCTCAAGGAGAGTGGACTTTATGATTAAAGTCACTTTACAAGAATGGAAGTGTTAGTTTTAGTTCCAAAAATGGAACGATATCTTCAATAAGGCTTGAATACATTGGATAATAGCCAAGAAGAGTGTGTAATATTCTTATTATTGCAAGATTTAGGAGTTTAGGAGCCTGTAAAGTGAGATTTCTAAGCATGGCATGAAGATTTGATCTTATGGTTATCATAGAAATGACTTCAAATTCAAGTAAAAATGTCCAACTTCATCTCTTCGAATCTCTTAGCTCAAGCATGATAAATTTGTGCTCTTTGACATTTTGTAAATCTTATAGCATCCTCTTCAACTTTAATGTTGACCACTTATCTTGAATCATCCTGGATCTTGATGAAAATTGGCCAAGAAGTTGAGATAAACACTGGTCAAAACTGTTTGAAAAATTTCTAAGTGTTGGATAAAAAGTATCACAACTTCATGGGCTCATATCTCTTAAATTAAGCACTTTTTGGAGATAAACCCTCATAGACATCATTTAAAAATTCCTCATTCTCTATAAATTTCATGTTAAAAGTTTTCCTTGAATCAACTTGTATCTTGGGAAAACTTGCTTATGAAGTTTGGGTTATTTAGGCACAAAATAGTTGAATTTCTCTTAAGCATTTGAAAACCTTTCAACTTTAAATTGTGTTGACTTTCTTGATTCTCTTGATTCTTGATGATCAAGTTTGGATGATTTTTAATATTTTGATGTTTCTTGACTTGATACAGCCTTGTTTGACCAAAAAGTCAAAGTTTGACTTTTGTGTGACAATTGACTTTTTCTTCAAATGAATGCAACTAATGAAATCTTGTGAGCATGATGCAATTGAGATGATGTGATGACAATGATATGGTGTTGTTGATGATACTTTGACGTAATAAACCTTTGAATTCCCATCCACAAAACCCTAATTCATGATTTTCTCTGATGAAGGCCAAAAACCCTAATTTCCTCAAACCAAAATGATGAGACCAAATAACTGATGATGCTTTGAGAATGATGATCATGATGATACAAAATATTGAGAGATTAGACTATCCTCTTTAAAAACCTAATCTTTAGAGAAAATGTGATCCCATTCTTTGAGAATACATGTTGTGAATGATTGTGTTGCAGATGAAAATGTATGTGGAGATGAATGTGTGTGAGACTTGAGTTAACTGTGGTTGAAACTTAAAGAGAAAGTTTTGGGTTGCAACAAAAGACAATGAAGGTATCTTTATTGGATACTCCAAATCTAATAAATCATATAGAGTTTACAACAAGATATTACTTATTGTTGAAGATTCAATTCATGTTACTTTTGATGAGTCTTGCCCAAATAATGTTGGGAAAGGTATTTATTTTCATGGTGTAGGTGTATCTATGGAAGACATACTCAAGGACATCGAAAAAGGAATTGATCAACCTAAAGCGGTGGATATTGAGAAGGAAAAAGATGACAACCAAGAAAATAAGGATGATGAAAGTCAACAAGAAGATGATGGTCTTCCAATGGAGTGGAGAACGTCCAAGGATCGTCCAATTGAAAACATTATTGGTGATATCACGAAAGAGGCAACAATACGCTCTAAGATAAGTAATTTTTGTTATCATCACACGTACATATCACAAGTTGAACGTAAAAATGCTAAGGATGCCTTACTTTATGAGCATTGGCTTATGGCCATGCAAGAAGAATTGAATCAATTTGAAAGAAATAATGTTTGGGACCTTGTCCCTCGTCCATAAAATCATCAAGTTATAGGCACACGATGGGTATTTAGGAATAAATTTGACGAACATGGTTCTATAACAAGGAATAAGACTCGGCTAGTGGCTCAATTGTATAACATAGAGGAAGGCATTGATTATGAGGATACTTATACTCCGTTTGCCCAATTCAAGGTTATATGCCTTTTACTAGCACATGCATGTTTCAAGAACTTCAAATTATATCAATGGAAGTTAAAAGTGTGTTCCTTAACGAATACATAAATGAAAAGGTGTATGCTTCACAACCTCTCGGTTTTGAAAACTAAGAATATCCTAATCATGTTTTTAAGCTAAAACATTATTTGTATGGTCTTAAACAAGCCCCAAGGGCATGGTATGACCGACTTAGAAAGTTATTGCTTGATCAAGGATATTCTAGAGGGAAGGTAGATACTACTATCTTTATTAAATGTCAAGGAAAGCATATTTTACTTGTTCAAATTTATGTTGATGATATCATTTTTGGATTGACTAACATACATCTTGTCAATGATTTCTCTAAGTTTATGCATGGAGAATTTGTAATGAGTCTCATGGAGGAGTTGAACTACTTTCTCATACTTCAAATAAAGCAGCTCAGTGAAGGAACATTTGTATGTCAAACCAAGTATTGTCTCAAATTACTGAAACAATTCGGAATGGACGGTGCAAAGGATATTGACACACCTATGACAACAAAAGGAAATTTGGAAAGAGATGAAAAAGGTAAGGTTGTTGATGTCAAGAAATATAGAGGTATGGTAGGATCTCTTCTATATCTTATGACATCTATGCTCGATATTATGTTTAGAGTTTGCATGTGCGCATGATATCAATCGGCTCCCAAGGAATCACACCTAAAAGTGGTTAAGCATATTCTTACATACCTTATTGGTGCTTCTAAGTTTGGACTTTGGTATTCCAAGGGAAGCGATTGTAGCTTGTATGGTTACTCCAATTCTGATTTTTCCAGTTGCAAAACGGATAGGAAAAGTACTAGTGAAACTTGTCACATGTTTTCAAAATCCTTGGTTAGTTGGCATAGTAAAAAGCAAGTTTCCGTAGTTTTGTCAATGACCTAAGAGGAATACGTGGCAACTGGTAGTTGTTGTGCCCAAATTTTGTGGCTTAAGCAACAATTACTTGATTTTGACATTAAACTTTCACGTTTTCTTATCATGTGCGGAAACACTAGTGCCATTAATCTAACTAAGAATACGGTGCTACATTCTCAAACTAAACATATTGTGATATGTCAC